AAGTAACTTTTTTTTTTTCCTCACGGCAATCGTATCTCAAGTTTTTAGAAACGTAGCCCCCACCCCTCCCGCCACACACACACACACACACACACACACACACACACTCCCACAGATACAAATGCCAAGGAGCTGAGGAATTCTGAGAGAATCTTTTTTTTTTTCCTCATTATTGGTTCTGCTGTTTTTTCCTCTTGACCATGGCTGCGCCGACACCAACAAACAAGCCAGCCAGGCCCGCGATGGTCGCCCCCACAAAGAAATCTCGGACCTGCAAGGTGGAAAGAAAGACGACGGGTAAAGATTTGGCTCAGAACCAGAGCATAGAGCCAGGAGGGACCTTGGAGATTTTCTAGTCCACCCCTCTGCTCAAGCAAGAGACTCTATACCTGTCGACTCATAAAATATTTCTCTGGTCTTTTCAGAGTTGCCAACAGAAAGGAAAGGAGGAGCAGCGCAGCAGCTTGCAAAACCGAAAGCGCATTCCATAAATGTTTTCAAAGATAGTAACTAGGTGACCGAAGTTTCTGCCATGCAAAATTCTAACTGGAGAGCTTGATTGATGACTCTTGGCTATGGAAGTGTCCCATTGGAGGATATGAATTATGATACACCAAGGTAGCACCAGCATGTTTACTCCGAATAAATCTTAAGCTTTGTAAATCTGGCTAGAGACTATGATTTAATTGAGGATAACTACCGGAGCCCTCACAATATCATTTCAGATAGGTGGATGTCCAGTCTTTTTAAAAATCTCCAGTGATGAAGCACCTACAACTTCTGGTGGCCAGCTGTTCCACTGGCTAATTGTCCTCCCTGTTAGGAAGTTTCTCCTTAGTTCCAGGGTTGCTCCTCTCCTTGATGGGTTTCCATCCGTTGCTTCTTGTTTTGCCTTCTGGTGCTTTGGAAAATAGCTTGACACCCCCCCTCCTCCTCTTTGTGGCAGCACCTCAAAAATTGGGACACTGCTATCATGCCCACCCCACCAGTCCTTCTTTTCTCTAGATTAGCCAAACCCAAATCCTGCAGCTGTTCTTCATATGTTTTAATCTCCAGGTCTTTAATCATCTTAGTTGGTCTTCTTTGAAAAAAATAATAATTATGTATATGTTTTTCATCAAATCCCACCTCACCTTCCATGTTCCTGATGTGCTAATATGGCAGCTGCCAGAAGCGATTGGCAACTTGTCAATCAGTCCTAGAGGAAGGCAAAAGAGCTGGAATTTGGGCGGGGAGGGAGGGGTCTGCTTTGTAGGGGTCTGGGGTGTTGCAGACATTGCTTTGTTCCCCCAAAGAAGACCCTCCTCTTACAAGGAACGCTCACCATTACAACCCCAACTGAACTGAAAATTCCCACCGCTAAGGAAAATGGTTGTTAATTGAGTTTTAGTACAGAGAGTCCGTCATAAATATGAAATCAGGTGCCAAGCATCTGAATTTTGATCACGTGACCAGGGGGATGTGTCATGCTGTGGCGGTGGTAAGTGTGAAAAACGGTCCTAACTCGCTTTTTCCAGGGCCGCTGTACCTTTGAACTGTCACTAAATGAGCGGCTGCAAGGACTACTTGTATAGTCGAGGCTTTATATGGCAAACTTAGGAGGGTTAAAAGGAGGCATTTACACACAAGCGTTCTTCCAAGGCTTGCAAACCTGCAAAAAAAAAAAAAAAAGGACCCCCAATTTTGTCCAGAAAAGTTTGAAAGGAACCCCTTACTTGATCGCTCCTGGCCACGCCATAGCGCAGTTCGGTGACGAAGTGCTCACAATTCTCGCTGGTGATTTTATATTCTAGTTCTTGGCCCACTTTCTCTTCAGCCAGTTGGATAATCTTGTTAACGGGCAGTGGGGCGTATTTGGAATCGTATTTGTTGTTGACCCGGTATCGGTCATGGCCCACCACTTCCAAGAGCCGCTCCTTCTTCACCAAGGCCTTGTTGGTGAGGGTGGACATGAGGCTGGCACAACCAGCTCCCGCAAGTTCGCCTTGAGGGTAGGAAAGAAAGAGTCATTCATGGAGAGGGCCTGATAGGGCCTAGGGCAGACTTGTGGACTTCAACTCCCAGAATTCCCCAGCCAGCCAGGGGGATTCTGGGAGTTGAAGTCCACAGGACTTCAAGTTGCCACGGTTGGATAAATCTGTCCTCAATATTAGCTTAGATCAGCCTTCTGTTCCTTGGACATCCTTCTGATAGGTGGACTTAATTCTCAGAAATAAAGCTCTTCTTAGCTCTTCGCTAAGAATTCTGGGAAAGGAAGTCTACAAGTCTTAAAGTTGCCAAGGTGAAATACCTTTGAAAGTGTTTAAGGCACCAGGCCAGAAACTGGGA